TAAAAATTATTAAAAAACGAGATTTTTTAAATAATTAACTTGATACTAATATGAATATATTTTTTTTAAAGTTTAAATTTATATTTTATTCAAAAATAAAAACATTATTGTTTTCTCAAAACAATGTAAAACCGTATATATCAATAAGGACAAAGAATAAAACAAAATATTAAAATCGAAATGTATCGCGCTGTATTATGCTAATATGATTTTTGTCATAATAGTTGTCTTATAATTTTAGAACTATTATTTTTAAAAACCATGTGTAGTTTACTCTATATTTTATTTGAATTTTGAGGTAAAGTTATATTGTTTCCTTATGGGTAATATTTAATATATACAGGATTGTGTTTTAATAATAACTAGAAGAGTATTCACGTAATGTAGTGAGATATATTTCGATTTTAATGTTTTATTTTATTCATTTTCTTTGTCGATATAATACGATTTTATATGATTTTTAGAAAATGATAATATTTTTATTTTTTAATGAAATATAAATTTGAAAAAAATATCGATATTAGTATTAAATTAATTATTTAAAAGTTCTCGTTTCTGTCTAATTTTTTGATTCAATTTTTAATTATAATTTAATTTAGATTTAATAACAAARTAATTTATTTTTGTTTAACAATATATTTTTTATAAAGATRATAATTAAGTATTCTGTTAAAACTCAATGATTATTCTAATTATATTTTTATTTTTTATATTTAAAATGAGATATTTATCCTGTATTTGATTAAGTTTATATGTAGTTATTTATACCAATTCAGAAATAGAGCTTTAATAAGTTGTACTTATGCTTAATTACTTGTAATATTGATTTTTAAGTAATATGCATCAATAAACGGTATTTCATGCATAAAAATGGTTTTGAAACTATTGAATGGAATTCTGACACATGATTCTTGCATGTCAGGATAACATTTTGTGTACCATAAGTTCATTGCAGTCAGGGTAGAATGTTTTCTGTTTTATTCTTCTCTTCGACTACTTGTTCCATACAAACCTTTTGAACATGTCAACCATTTTTCCTTGTTTTTCTCTATCATATCAACCTGTAATGGAATGATAAAAATATGTTTACTAGGTTCTTTTAGTCACAAAAATGGGTATCGTGTAGGGGATTCGATCATAAAATATATAACAAATTTGACATCTATCAGTCGACTAGAACTCCCAGCACCCGAAACATTCTCAAAATTGTTTTCTTGTGTACATGATATTTTATGAAACAACTGGCATGCACTAACAAATTTCCCCCTAAATCAAATAAAAAACTAAAACGCACCCAACAAAAGTGTATACCAACAACGTAATCAAAGTCGATACATAAAAGAAATTGTTTTCTCAATTGTTCCCACTTCATGCTTCTTTCAAAATCATACATATGCATGCATTTGCATTTCATAAACTACAAAACAAAGAGGATTTACTGACACTGATTTTTCCATCAGTTATTATTGACGAATTTGTGGTGGTTCACCAGTGGATTGACCATCATCGACAAATTCTTCCGTCGGTGATTGAAAATCCATTGGTAATCTGCCGATAATCACAATCACTTGCCACACTTTCTCCAGTGGCGAAATCTGTTGGTAATTAATTCGCCAGTGATCATTTTTCCATAAATTTTTATGTCAGTTAAGTCTTTTTGTTTTATAATGATACTACTGATTGGCTCCTTAACTTCACTTTCAACAGCTAACACGACCCCATGTACAATGTTTTAGTTATGAACCAAAAGGTTGGGGGCGTTACAACTACTGACCACACTTGTCGACTACCAACTTAACTTAGTCGATTCAAATGGTAAGATTTAATCGGTTTCACACAAATTTGACACCCTAATTCTGCAAGCAACTTACATAATTCAAGGGTTTCTTTAAAATTTTCTTATCCACGAACACTCCAAAACTTATACAATTTTATTTATCAAATAGTTTATTTGATGTTATATCTTACAAACCTTAAAATGTAAAGATTTAACCACAAGGGTGGTGCCTGATTGGTTTGAGCTTAGCTTCAAAGGTCAAAAATACCAGAAGATCTCAGGTTCAAATCCAATGATGAATAAAAATCCCCTTGTGCCCATGGAGGTTCAAATGTGATGACTCCGGGCTATCTACAAAGCAGTTGGTCGTCCTGGGATTAGTCGGCTCGCATAGCGGGTTGGATATCCAGGTTAATAAAAAAAAGATTTAAGATTAATGAAGTGTGTGAGTAATACAAGTTGTTTTTCAATAACTTTTATGGGATGGATCGCGTGAAAATTTAACAAAAAAAAATTCATATTTAATAGAAAGTTCGGTAAGACGTTGTTATGGAGCATCTCCAATCATATTTATTTACATTTAAATTAATGTAGAGTCTAATTTACATGTGTTTAACCAAAATAGCTATCTAATATTCCTCATACTATTATTTCTAAACCATAAATGTGATATCTGATTGGTTTGAACTTGGTTTCAAATGTCAAAAGTATCAGGAGGTCTCAGGTTCAAATCTAATGAGAGATAAAAATCCCCTTGTGGCCATGGAAATTCAAATGCGGTGACTTCGGACCATCTGTAAAGCAGGTGGTCGTCCTGGTATTAGTCGGCTTGTATAACGGATTGGATATCCAGGTTAGTAAAAAAATACTATTATTTTTCCTTATTTAAATTATGAATACCTTTTTCTAATTACTAAATAAACAAATAAAACAAATTAATGTACACATATTTTAGGGAGTTACAAAAATTTGGTTTTTTTTAATCAACCTGGATATCCAACCCGCTATGCGAGCCGATTAATCTCAGGGCGACCACCTACTTTGCAGATAGCCCGGAGTCACCGCATTTGAACCTTCGTGACTATAAAAATGATTTTTATTCTTCATTGGATTTGTTATGATATACTTGGTGTGTTTCCCTTCGTAAATAGGTTGATTCGATTCTTGTGTTTTGTTGCGCTCTTCTATTGTTTTAGCTTTTAATTTTGGATTTTTTTCTCTGACTTTTGTTTTTATGAATTTTTTTGGGATATGAGTTGTGACAAGACTAAAACACTGAGATAAGGGGTCAACTTGGCGATACTGCAACAAAATTGGTCTTTTAGTACGTTAAACCTTTATGATAATATACTTAAAATGATTTTGAGTTTATTATAAGAATTAAATTTGTGCATCTTATACAGATATACTACAATTAGTTGTTATACGACCTAAATAGTTTTCCGTTTTTTGAAAAGATTGATGGGGACAATCGACCAAATAAAACCGAAGAAGTAATCTATTTCGATCCCTTTTTAAAAAAATATTTCTTAAAATAAGGTTTCATAAAACACTTCTCTTTTCGAAAATGTTACATTAAAAAACCCGGTTCCCGTAAGGTTTATCTAGAATGATGCGACACCATACCAAATTATATAAATCTATGCTATATTATAAAGCATTTTATAAAAACTTTTAAAAACCACTTTTTATGTGTAAAATACTGTTTATTAATGCATATTACTTAAAACTCAAGATTACAAGTAGATTGTGCGTAAGTACAACTTATTAAAGCTCCATACCTGAATTTGTGTAACTAACTGGAGATAAACATAATCAAATACAAGATAAAAATTTTATTTTAAATATAAATAATCTAAAATATAATTAAGATAATTATTGAGTTCTAACAGAATACTTAATTATTATCTTTATAAAATTTTATATTATTAAACTAAAAATAAATTATTTCGTTATTAAACTTAAATTAAATTATAATAAAAATAGAACTTTTAAATAGTTGATTTGCTATTAATATTGATATTTTTTTTCCAAAATTTTATGATATCTTTAAATTTATATTTTATTTAAAAATAAAATCATTATTATTTTTTAAAAATACATAAAATCATATTATAACATCAATAAAGATAAATAATAAAATAGAATATTAAAAGATATTTGTGTGATTACTCTGTAGTGAATATAATTCGAGAAAAACAAATATTTTGGAATACAAGTTTTTCTATATAAACAAATAAAGCAGAAAAACTATCCATCAAAAGCAACAAAAATGGTCCTGTCCTCCACCACTCCACTTCTATCTTCTCCATCTTCCATAACAGACCTGCAACAATGGGTCAATCATATCAACAAAACCTTCGAAAACTATCTTCAGGTCGACACCAATCTTCCCATTTGCATCTTCCAGCTACCAGAAGCCATAACCACAGATAAACCAGAGTCTTACGTTCCCCAACACATCGCTCTCGGACCAATCCACCATTTCCGAACCGAGCTCTACAGCAAGCAAGAGCAGCTCAAACTCATCACAGCAAGAACCGTTCTAAAGCCCTACAACATCACATCCAAGTTCGACCAAGCCGTACTCGTGACACTAAGAAAAGTGGTTCCAGAAGCTCGATGCTGCTATGATTTGTACTTTGATATTGACGATAACACCTTAGCATGGGTTTTCGCCTTAGATGGCCTCTTCTTGCTTGATGTTTTATCAAAAGAAACAGAAGAAGGTTCATCAATGTCGACTTTCAAAGATGTTATGATGGTTGAAAACCAAATCCCACTTGTGGTGTTAGTCGGACTCATGAATGCTCTCCAGGTACCCTTCGACAGTTCTTCTCTTTTCAACTTGTTGGTTATATTTTGCGTAGCTCGATCGCCTCTTAAGTTTTCTACGCAGAAAACCCAACTCGATCTTGATATAAACAGCAGCTTTCATTTACTCCACTGCATGTATCACTTGATCATAAACGATAAGTTAGCACCTACAAACCCTTTTCTTCGATACAATTTACGGCTTGATGTACATCTAGAGGATGTAGAAAATGCAGTGCAAATCGCCCAAGGGTTATTCCCTGGAGCAAATGTAGTTTTGCAGCCTGTTATGCTCATCTTGAAATTGCCATGGGACAAGATTACTAGTTTGTTCAACAAAATGTTGGGAGAAAACCCTACATCACTCGAAGTCGATATCCCTTCGGCATCAAAACTCGCAAGAATCGGGAAGATTGAATTTTGCACGACCCCTGGAGGGATTCGCGATATTGAATTTGACGAGGGAAAGCTCGCATTTTCGCTCCCCGTGCTTGATTTAAAGTCTGATTCGGAAGTTATATTGAGAAATCTGGTGGCCTACGAAGGGTTAATGTTCAAGAAAGGTACCATTCCGAATCTTGATTTCACGGAGTATGTGGATTTAATGTGTGGGATTATCGATAGCGTTAAGGACGTAAAGATTCTTCGTGAAAAGAGTATTATCGAAGGCGGTTTGGGGGACGAGGAGATCGTGAAACTCTTTAATGGGATTACCAAATCGAGCACAGAGAAACAAAACTCCGCGTTGCGAAAGACAGTTGCGAAAGTGAACAAGCATTTTGGTAATGTACCGAGGGTCAAAGTTTATCGCTATGTCAAGAAGGTGTTTCTTGCGTCATGGAAGATTTTCGCAATCATTTTTTCTGTGGTGAGTCTTGTGTTGATGATCATCGAGGGAGTGTGTCAAGTTTACAGGTGTAAGGGTCAATTTGCGCTCGGAAACTCTTGGCACGGTATCGGGAATAACCAGCTTTCGGACTTTTAGATCATTGGATCGATGAACGACAATGTGAGCAATCTAGATCGTGAAGTATAACACGAGATTGTGTCGTACAACTTATCAACATATCAATTGATTGAAGTTAAACAACAATCTGATTGTGTTCTAAACAACTTATTGTACTGTTTATTCGCTATATATAAACTTCAAATGTCATCAAGTTGTGTTCTGAACAGCTTATTAACATAACCATCTATGTAAGTTTAGGGACGAGAGCTGATAAGCTGAACATACCATAGGGACCAAAATTGTAAAAATTGATATGTTCTGAGTCCATTTGGTAGGTTTCATCTTACAAGATTGGTGTGGAAAACTACGTTATTGTATTGTAGCTTATGATGGGGACGATACATATGCAGGACTGTAAAAGTAAGCTTAACAGTGTGTTAGGCAAGTTGTGGTTGTTTGGTTAAGTTTGGGAAATGAAAAAAAAATGACAAAGAATTAGAGATGGTTAAATGGGCTTGGTTTGACCTGAGACCGGCGGAGCACCGGCACCGGGATTGATTGGGACTGGTTTGGGACCGCCGGATAAGAACCGGTTACGGTTTTCGTCAAAAAACAAGGCCCGGCCCGGGACCGGTTTGATTTTAAAAAAATTGTATGTCTAAGTTTATTTTTAAATGTATTTCTAACTCTTCTAAGTATATTTAATTGAAAATCCGTATTTTTTAAGTATATGTAATTGTCTCATTTACCCTCTATTCACTATATATATATATATATATATATATATATATATATATAAAAGTCATATGGTAAATGGTATATGAGGAAAGATACCAACTCACAAACATTCAGGATTCTCACTAAAAAACGTATTTTTTAAGTGTATTTAATTGATCAAATTACATATTTTAAGTGTATTAGAATAATTCTTTTATATTCTTTAAAAAGAACTTCAAAAAAATTAAGAAAAAATATCGATTTTTTTAGATAGGATCAGTAACTTGGGCTTGGCACGGGACCGAAACTGTTTCTTATAACCAAGCCTTTGTATTTGGGTTGGGACCAGGACCAGTTCCGGGATCACTATTTGGGACCGGGACCGATTTGGGGCCGGCCCAGTCTAGTCCGTGACCGATTTTTGACCACCTTTATAAATAATGAATTAATTTTCTTTAATTTAACCTCGAATGAAAATATGGACTTATAGAATATGAACCCATTATATTATATATAAATATGATAAAATTATTTAGATGAAATATAAGTAGTTATGATATATGTCTCAAGAGTGTTGGAAAGAGTTAATTAGTTAATACTCCATGTGTGAAATATAAGTAGTTATGATTAGGGCTCTAAATGAACCGAACGAACACAAACGGAGGCTTGTTCATGTTCGTTCGTTTAACTTAACCGAACAAACGAACGAACACGAACGGTAAACGAACGGAAATCTTCGTTTTCGTGTTCGTTCGTTTAAAAATAAGGTGTGTTCGTTTTCGTTTATGTTCGTTTGTTAACATGCTAAACGAACGTAAACGAATGAACATAAACGAATGGGCTAAACGAACATAAATTAACGAACAAGTTAAACGAACATAAATAAATATTATTTGATTTCAAAGTAAATAAATACAAGATTATATATTAAATTTAATATATAAACAAACATAAACGAACGAATATAAACGAACATAAATGAACGAACAAGACTCTTGTTCATATTCATTCGTTTAACTAAACGAACAAAAAAAATTGTTCATGTTCGTTCATTTATTAAATGAACGAACAAGACTCTTGTTCATATTCATTCGTTTAACTAAACGAACAAAAAAATTTGTTCATGTTCGTTCATTTATTAAATGAACGAACATAAACGAATTTCCCGCCGAACAGCTCACGAACGGTTCGCTGAACGTTCGTTTCGTTTACAGCCCTAGTTATGATATATGTCTCAGAGTGTTGGAAAGAGTTAATTAGTTAATACTCCATGTGTCACAATAAAATGTGATATTTTCTATTTTTGATTATATATATATATATATATATTTTCATTTTTTTCGATATAATTTTTTTTAGTAAAATGTGCTAAAATATGGTATAAAATAATTTTTCATCTAAAAGTTATTAATTCAAATATGTATTAGGAATAATTTAAATAGATAATTAAATTGCTAAAAATTAAATATAGGGTAATGTTATTTGTGTCCTTTCTATGTTAAAATCAAGTCAATTCATTCATACATTGAAAATGTAAAAAGTAGGTCTTAATATTAATGTATATAGAAGAAATTTATAAGTAAAAATATATTTAACAATATATAAAGTTGCATTTAATCCATCCAAAAATATATACAAATCGTTCAATAAAAATTAAATCAGGTGCAAAGTTATAAGTTTATTAGAATTAGAAATACGCATTTAAATTTAATTCTTAAAAGGAAAATGAACTAAATTGGGCCAATTATTATTGGGTCAGTTAGAAAACTGAAGGCCCAATAATCAATGAAAGGGAAGATTTTTCACAACCTTTTTGACATTCAAGGGCCATTTACCAAACCCTTACTTGGGTAAGTAAACACTAAGTCACGTTACTTTATCAGATGAATATGGTAAAGATCAAGAATATTATCCGATAAGAGCGAGACAAAGCTCAAGAGTTTTACCCGGTAAGTGCTTACCGGGTAAATTGTTGCATACGATACCGTTTTGACGGACTAAAATCTTACCCGATAAGTAAATGATAGTGCTAAATTTCACCGATAAACACTTGCCGGGTAAATGTTTGGTAAACGGCCCCTTATTATTATTTTATTATCTTTTAAAGTTATAATTGCATGCCACTAATATATGGTATATGCCAAAAACATAATAATTTTTAGTATGTTTTTAATAGATCATATTTTCTGTACCGTGGGTTATTTAAAATACGTACATAAAACATACATATAAATATTATATATATATATATATAGAGAGAGAGAGAGAGAGAGAGTATGTGTGTTAAGATCATTTGTTAACCATGAAAAAAGTGTTAACTATACAAATCTTGTAGATCAATCACAAGCCATTGTTATATTACGTTCATCTCTCACCATACAATTATTATTGAGGATACATTGGTAATTTTCTTTTTGTCTTAATTTCATTTGCATTAATGGGTTGTTACAAAAACATCCAGTTCCATGATTTAACCTAAATTAATATGTTATTATTTCCAGATTCTCGTTGATTTGTTATTAGTAGAATAAGAAACTTGGATGGTCATCTTCAACATATATGTACTCAAAATCATTCTTCATTATATTATGTTAATATTGTGTTCATATGATATTCTTATGGTCAACTCTATGTTCATGACCATGATATAAAAAATAGTGTTCATGACTTAACTATATTGGTGAACTTATAAAAAGTAGTGTTCATGACGGTTTCGATTCCAAGAAGGAGAAATTATCGGGCAGTAACCGATATAAAATAAATATTGGTTGTGTACTTTCCAGAAATACCCCCATGGTACTAACGTTCACCTATGTTATTTAGTTTTAGTATGTAATTAGTTACAATGATGCCATGATGAATTTTGTCCATAGATTCCAATATGAAGGGCTACCATTGGTTCATAAAGTTAACATCATTTATTGAGTTAAGTAAACAACCTGCCCCTACATATGTATGTATATATGTGTACATGTCAATTTGCTTACATGTGTGTAGACTTGAATCATGTGAAACCAAACTACGTTTTCGTGAGATCCATGAAATCACATTTTTTTACATTTTAAATTTCACAACAAAACACTATGAAGGTAACATTTACAGTATTTTTACTGTGAATGTTCGGATTTTTTTTACATTCACAATGTTTTGCTGTGAAATTTCAAGTGTAAAAGTGTGGTCTCATGAGTCTCATAAAAATAGTCTGGTCTCACATGAACCCATACCCGTGTTAGTATGTGCAACTATATATGTGTGTATGTATATAGCTAATATGTATTGATGCATGTATCTATAGATTGGTAGTCGTGTCCTTGTATGCTACATGTACATATATACTATACATTTAATTATATATATGACTAGCTACTAGACTTACATTTACACTACACGTAAAACCCAACATGACTTGTACCCTATACATGCATAGGCATTTTAGATATTAAGGTTGACCACAACCATCAATCAATTAGGGCTGTTTACTAAGCGCTTACTTGGGTGAGCTTTTACCAAGTTATATTACCTTATCGAATTGAATATCGAAGCATCTTATCCGATAAAAGCAAAACAAGGAACAAGAGTCTTACCCGGTAAGTGAAGGCGATGAATCTTACTACGGTAAGAGCTTATAATGTAAACTATTGCATATGGTATTGTTTTGATGGACGAAGATCTTACCTGATAAGTAAGTAATAGTGTTGAATTTTACCGATAAGCATTTATCGGATAAGTTTTTGGTAAACGGCCAAATAAAATTCATTGCAACACCAAATAAAATTCATTGCAACACATCAAGACCTCTTGGAAGCCATTACTATGTAACCTATTAAAACTATTTAAAGAAAGCAAAAACAAAAATGTCGTAGGTAATCCTTGATTAAATATGCAAAACACTACTAAAAAAAAGGGTATCATCGACACATTTTTTTATCGGAAATTCCGTCGAAAATATTCCCAACGGATTCCAAAAAAGTCAACTTTTATCCATATCTGCCACAGATCTCCCACAAATCCCCCACTGAATTTTTGGAAAAAAAATTAAAATTATTTTAAACGGGTTTTCAACGGATTTGTGACGGTTTTCTGATGGATTTTTTTTACTTATTCAAAACCGTCACAAATCCGTCGGAAATCCATCGCAAAATTTTTCTAATTTATTTAAATAAATAAATTAACGTTAATCAAAAACAATTTCTGACGGAATTTAATTTTTAATAAAAACAAATCGAAATCCGTCGGAAACTTGTAAACTTTATATATATATATATATATAGTTTGTTTCAAATACAACCTATCGTATTTGTACACTTAACCAATGCAAC